GGGGGAAGCGTCCCCTTAAAAAGACCACTCTCAGAAGAGCAATGCTGGTGAAAGGAAACCCAACCAAAGTTTATACCCGGTTTCCCTCTGAAGTCTCCCGTGCGCTGAGCCAGAGCAGCGCCCTGAGGGTAGAGGTGGTGCATGCTTGGTGGCGGGCGGCATGGCACAGAGAGGGCGCTGAGGGGCACAGGGAGACGGCCGCGTGAACAATGAGAGTTGACAGAGGATGGGCTTAAGCTAAAAGACAGGAGGCGTTTATTGCGTTGGAGCATTATTAATCATTACAACGGAATGATAGATAATTCTCAGAGAATTCACAGGAGAAGAAAACCTTTAGAACTTGGCTCCCTCCTGCATTTGCCGCCCGGGAGCCAGTGAAGGTGACTGCTTTGAAGGACAGTGTCCGTGGGCACAGCGGTACTTTCTACGGCTTTTCTCTCTCTCAGCGAATGGTGCTCAGTGACTTCCGTAGACAAACCTGCCTCTAAACGTGCTTCCCTTGTCGTGATATATGAAATTTAGCTTCTGTTACTATGTGTTTAACTTTGGTGTCAGACGCCAAAGAGCTGTGGCCTGTTTGCAACATTGTAACGTCGCAGAATGATGGTCCCTGCTTCCCCGGAGGAGGCTCGCCGCCTCTCCCACGGCCTCACCCTTGTAGCCGTAATGAATTGTAGGACAGAGAGCTTCGATGGGAAAAAAACAAACCAAAACAACAAAAAACACACATTAAAAACAATTCAGCAAAGACAGTTCCCTGAGGCATATTCTGCAGGACGCCAGTGTCCTGAGATCTTTAGAGAAAACGAGTTTAATGGGCACATAAATTCATGAAGTACTGGGTGCCGTTTTCCCCCCAAGAGTTGACCGTGCATGTTAGAGAACTGGCATATTAAAGGGTCTGAAAATTTCCGCAGCCATGGGAACATTTTTATTTTCTCTAGCTCACCGCGGCCCCGCCCCTCTGCCTCGCTGTCCACGCCCAGCACCCAGCAACATCCTGTGGGATACTTTTTGGGAAAGGCTGCAAAAGTATTGCTTTTCTAGTTTTGGGGGCCTGAAGTCTTGATAGTAATTGTGAGGCAGGGATACAAGAACAGCAGCGGCAGCTTTCACCAGGACTTTTTTGAAAGCAGTTAAAATAATTTGTTTATGATCACAGAGTATCGTTTCAATCCAGGCCTGCCTTCCTTCTCTTAACTAAGGTGCTAAAATTTTTCTGACGAAGGCGGNAGTATCGTTTCAATCTAGGGCTGCCTTCCTTCTCTTAACTAAGGTGCTAAAATTTTTCTGACGAAGGCGGCAGACTCGTGGCTGACATTTGACGGGGNGCAGACTCGTGGCTGACATTCTGACGGGGACATTCCCATTCTTGGCCTGAGTCATCTCCCCTGGGAAAGCAGATGCCCCCTTCGTCTATCAGAGCTTTAATCATACCAGTTCAATATCGATTTTCTCTTTAATACATGAATTCCTTCAGTGAGCTCCTTCCAGGAGGATGTTTTTCTGTTTCCTGGTGGTTTTATTTTTGCTGATACTGAGACCATTTTTGCTTAAGTCTAACTTCGTTTGTTATCAGAAAAATGTGGTCTGTACAATTTCCGCTTATTTTGAAAATTTATTGGGTTTTTATAGCCCTGTGTTTGATAAGTTTCTGTTACATTTCCATGGATGCTTGAGGGGAAAAAAAAGATGTTCCCTATAAAGAAAAAGGCTGACATAGATCCGTAAAAACAATATTGTTCACATACACGATACCATTATTTTTGTGCAATTGATTTAAGACTGAGGAACTGTCTTAAAGTCTCCCACTCCTAGTACAATTTCTCCCCTTCTGCCATTGTCACGTTGTGTATTTCAGTCCTATGTTATTTGATTCTTAAGATTTATGAGTTTTATATGTTCGTTGTGAATTGTGCCCTTTGTCAAAATAAGATTCTTAAATCCCATTTAATGCACTTGTTTTTCAATACGACTCTGTCCTATATTTCCGTTGCCGTGCCTGCTTCAATTTATGTTTGTTTATCTTTTAAGTTTCAATATTTCTGCCTTAAAATATTTCAGTAGAGGCACGCAAAACAAAGGGATAATTTCGGCGTGTTTTCACATACGTCGGGTCTGTTTTCCTGCTCTCTTCGAAAGCACCTCTCACATGCAACACACAGTGGGATTTATAACAACTAGCCTGAAAAATTTTGTCATTTAATAAGGCGGTTTAACCTGTTTATACTTGTACTGATTTTTGGTGTTACTTCTGTCATTTTTATTTTATGTTTTTTCCGGGCTCCGTTGCCCCCTCCCTCCCGCCTCCCCTCTCTCCTCCTCATATGCAAAGTGGACCAGCCACGTTTTGTTTGATTTTTTTTTACTAGTGCTTCCCTTTTAGTTCTTAAAAAAACATATTTGGGCCTATATTTCTCCATCAGTAACCATAGCTCAAGTTGAGGGCTTCCTGAAAAGTGACCGGCACTTCTCATGGACCATACATGGCTGCAGTGTAGCAGCCCCGAGTGGGGTGGGGAACGGTATTTCCATGTACATTTTAAAGGTGAGGAAACTGAGTCACAGGGGGGTTAATGCAGAATTTACATGACTTTTCCAGAATCCACGGCCGGGATTGGAACCCAGGTAGTCTGACGCGAGAGCCCGCCCTTAGTCATCTTGATACATATACATATACATATACATATACATATACATATACATATACATATACATATACATATACATATACATATACANTCTGACGCGAGAGCCCGCCCTTAGTCATCTTGATTATACATATACATATACATATACATATACATATACATATACATATATACATATACACACACACACACACACACATACACACACATACACACACATACACACACNTATACATACACACATATACACACACACATATACATACACACATGCACACATATACACACATATACACACACGTATATACACACATACATATATACACATATGTATACACACGTATACACACATATACACACATACACACACATACATACATATATACACACATACACACACATACACACATATACACATATACACACACATATACACACACACATATATATATACACACACACATATATACACACACATATATACAGACATTGCCTTTCCATTTCCAAGAATTAAATAACGTTCCTCTGTCCATATAAGTTGAAAATGTTAATACTTTGCTTTAATTTATATTTCTGCTTCACACATCTCTTTTCAATTTCATTTAGAACCAGACAATGACANTACACACACATATACACACACATACACACACATACACACACATACACACATACACACACATA